TAGAACAAAAGTATGATCCTGAGAGAGAGGCCAGACCTACTGCCCCAGGAGAGGCCAGAGAGGCCCCTGGGATTAACTGCCCTCAAAGAAGCTTTTTCTGAAGGTCACCTTTCCCCTAACGAATAGATTGTCTTACAGAATAAATAATATTGTCTGCGAGTCTCATGCTCCCCAAAAGCAAAGGTGAGAGGGCCAGAAGGGGCTGGGAAACTGGATCAATGGAAACAGAGGAAATGGAGGAGAGAGGAAGAGAACGCTGACTCTCGGGAGCACCGTAAGCAATAGCAGAGGGACAAGGTGTGCACACATTGCTGGTCACTGCCACTGAGTGAGCTGAGACTCGTGGTGGCCCAAGAGGGCGGAGCAAAAGCGCTCCTGTGGGTTTCTGAGACTGTAACTCGTTTCGGGAGTAGAAAGCCCGCCTTCCTCCCAAGGAGGGGCTGGTGGTTTGCACAATATTTTTTTAACTGGGCTGGGACCAGAACCCGGTCTCACGAATCGGGGGCAGAGCGCCCCCCAGACACCTGTCGGCACCAGCTATGGCTAAGGACTGTGGCCTGTGCACCCATTCCGCACAGCGAAGACACCCACCGAAGCCACAAAGAGGTCCCCGATCTTCTCGGTGGAGTCCCACTCGGCCACGCGGGAGGACAGGGCGATCTGGAACATGGAGTGGCAGTGCAGGATCTCCTTCACTCGGAAGAACACCGCCTGGCACTTGCGGACGCTCAGCACCTTGGGCTCCATCTCCATCAGGGGGTTGCGGTAATCCTGCAGGGTAGGCGGTGGGGCACTCAGGGGGCAGGCCAGGGCCCCTCCCACCCCACCCGCCTGTCCTTGCGCCCACGTTGTGGTCATCGCAACTTGCAGGGCCAGACAGGGCCTTCCTGCTGTCAGGAGAGCTCCCCCTGACCCTGTTTGCTGCTAGAAGGCTCCCATGAATGTGGCACACTGGCCAGTCTACACCAGTGGTTCTCAACCTTCCCTTTAATGCAATTCCTCATGTGGTGGTGACCCCCAACCATAACACTTCCGTTGCTACTTCATCACTGTCATATTATTATTGTTATGAATCAGGCGACCCCTGTGAAAGGGTCGTTTGACCCTCAAAGGGGTCGCAACCCACAGATTGAGAACCTTTGGTCTAACTGAACCCCGCCTCCATGGGGGCAGGTCCCCGAGGATGAAGCTCGCCCGACAGGGCTCTCTGCCCGGGACGGAGCCATCCCCGGCGGTGCAGTGAACGTGTTTGGCTGCAGATGCAAGTCTACCCAAGAGCAAGTCAGAAGGAAGGCCGGCAATCGGTGTCTGACCAGCCAGCCACTGAACACCCAGGGCCGCCACGAGTCGGCATCGCCTCAACACCAACTGGGAAAACTGGAAAGGCCATCAGGTCCAGCAGGTGTGTGGGATATGTCCACCCGGCTCCAGGCCTAGTGTCAAGCTCTCCAGTCAGAAAGAGGGCAACCCCTGGGCTCCTCTCTCTGGACCCAAACTGAACAGACAGGGGAGGGGGTCTGTAGCGCCCTCCAACCCTGATGGCCTGACTCCAAGAGCCCCCAGGCCCCAGACAGGGGAAGATCTCAGCTGGCTAGCACACCTCACTCAGGTTCTGGTGGTGGGAGATGGGGAGGGGGCCACTAGGGCAGTGAGGACAGCCTGGGCCCCTCCAGCCACGACGGTGACCAGGTGACTTGTTTAGGAAACCGTCACCACCGCAGATGCCAGCGCCTCTGGAGTGCCCAGTGCCCCAGCTTGAACACGCTGCTATGCCCCTTACGTAGTGCCAGCAACAGCCCTTTCCCCCGGCAACTCCCCACAGTCCTCCTCGGTCAGTGCCCGAGGGAGCCCCCAGGTCCTACCTGGAGTATCCGCTTCAGAGACTCCACGTAGCTGCCCTCGCTCTGGACGATGGAGCCCAGGATGTGTCTCCGGACCACCTGCCCGGGGCCGACAAGGACAGTCAGAGCGAGCCCCCTGCTGTGCAGAGCGCCAGCCGGCAGCGCCCCCTGAGGAGCTGGCCAGAGCCTGAGTGGGGGAGGGAGGACGCCAGGGAGCTGGCACCCACCCAGCCTCATGCTGATGGGGCAGTCTTTCTTACCCTGAAGTCACAGGTCCCACTTGCGTTGTGGCTCTAACCCCTGCGCCAGCCTCGGCACCCGAGGACCGCCCCTTGTCAGAGCAAAGCGCTCCTGCCCCTTTCTTGTGCCCTCCCACCAGACTTGGCTCTCCTGCACCCAGATCAAACCCAAACCAACTTCCCTGCCATGGGACAGCGACACTATAGGACAGGGTAGATCCACTCCTGTGGGTTCCCAGACTGGAACCTTCAACTTCCTACTGCGGAGCGGCTGGTGGTTTCAAAGGACTGACCTTCCAGTGAGCACCCCAGACACCTCGGCTTCCAAAAGCTCAGCCAGCAGAGGGCACCGGCACCCTCGGGGGTAGCCTGCCCAGCACAGATGCAGCGTGTGACCTCATAGCTCTCTCCCCTGGGTGTGGCAGAGCAAGGGGCCCCCCACTGAGCTGCCCAAGGAAATGCAGCATGGGGAGCTGGAGAACTCTGAGCCGGATCCCACTCCTGGGGTCTGACTTCCTGGCCTGGAAATCAGGGTGTTAAAAGCTTCCCAGAACTTCTTTCATAAGATAGACTAACAGCCCAAGAAGGGTCCAGAAGCCTCTGGGGGCACGAGTGGAAGGTTGTGATGAATTTCATGGCATTGGTGGCGGCGTCTCAACTCATGATAGGGGTCGGGTGTGAGTTGGGGAAAGCTGTCTGCCCTGGTGCAGGGCTAGGAAGGTCCTGGGCAGGAGGGGTGGCTGACCCCATGGCACTGGCCCAGCTGTCCTGGGAACATCAATGCCGGCGTCCCCCGACTGGCCTGCCCCCCTGCCTCTGGAATGCCCTGACCACTGCTTCCCACTGCCCTGCCTGGAGACCAGGGGTGGCAAGGTCAGCCCAAAGTCACACATCATCAATGATGTGGCTCCCAGGATAGTGGCGGGGGTGGGGAGGGGCTGCTTGCTTGTGATGGGTCTTCTGGGGACGCGACAGGTGGGGGGGTGGACACAGGAGGACTCCCCCTCCAGCTGAGAGCACTGAGAGCCCCGGCAGACACTGCCAGCTGTGCCCTGGGGGTCAGGTGCGCAGTCAGTGGGGACCCAATGGCCTCAAGTAACTAAAACCTCCTGACCCGGGAAACCCACAGAGGCCCCGATGGGAACTGGCGCCTGGGGTCTGTCTAGTTCTGATGGGAACAGGCTGTGGGGTGGGTGTGTGTGTGTGTGTGTGTGTGTGTGTGTGTGTGTGTGTGTGT